AGCTCTGCAGGGATCATGGACGACTGCGTTGTTGAGTGAAGAATTGGTAACACTGGACCGCTGACACCTCCATCTACTGTCCACTAACCATGGGAAGCGCAGAAGAAATGCACGGATGGACAGTAAAAATGAGCACGCCGGGCGTTTTGGCTGTAGTGACGTTCTTTTCTATGCTTCCTGGCGGTGTGCTCAGCGATATGAGATGTACTCAGGGTCTGGAAGCCCAACAATTTGCCCAGGGGTCCACTCATCTGCACCGTCGCCTGAAGAGAGGCTGGATCTGGAAACAGCTGTTTGTCCCAGAGGAAGATCCCACTCCTCGTGTTATTGGCCAGGTACTGCTTCAGATTGAATGTCCTCCATGTCCTTGATGTGGTACTTCACTTTGAAAAATCTTGTTTTCTCGGTGCCACAGGAAACTATGTTTAAAGAATAAAGCTTTTGTGTGCTCCCTCTCCTCTTTCTGCAGCTCAAATCTGATTCCGACCGAGGCGAGTTTTCTATCAAGTACATATTATCAGGGGAAGGCGCCGGAGATGTGTTTGAGATAGATGAGTATTCTGGTGAGATCCGGACTCTGAAGAAGCTTGATCGTGAGGAGAAGGCTTTTTACATCCTTCAAGCCCAGGCTATCAACAGGAGGTCCAACGAGCCAGAGGAGCCCCAGTCAGAGTTTATCATCCAGGTGCAAGACATCAATGACAATGTCCCCCAGTTCCAGAATGAACCATATGTGTCCAGCATCCCCGAGATGTGTCCAACTGGTATGTCTGAGAGAAAAGTTTCCCTTGAACACTGCACACTGAACACACAGGCACGTAGAGACACATTTAAAGCTCCAGTTCACTCAAATCCCCCAAAACGCAGAGACATATCTGTCTATTAGATTTCTACCTTCACCCCAATCCAGCAGAGACGAACAAAATTTAATTTGTGGAACACAGCAGTAAAAAATGACATGTTTAAATATTCAACAGCGACATGTCCTTCCAACGTCCTGTTCTCCGAATAATCCGCAGGCCTGGCTCCCTGTAAACAGCTTTCAGTGGAACTAAATCGTAGATGAATAAATGGTCCTCAGTATAACCCGTTCAAAGGAAGGTCTGTGATTTACAGAGAGTATTTCCATTTCTCATATTGATAAGATGAGGCACTCTTGATTCTTTTACAGTCGTGCTAACAGTGAGTGGCAACGTCGGTCATAAGTCAGAAACTTTAGTTTAGACTTGAGTATTTATGTATCCCGACAATAGTTAGATGAGATGTCATTAAATTTAGTGCAGAAATTACTGTTCTGAGGCTTTTAATGATGTAGGAAGATGTGGTACAAGCACACAACGTCATCTTTTAAGATTTAAATGGAAACAATGGATTGTTTTTGTGACTAAATATTTCAACTTTTTTCTTTCTGGGATTGTATTTCCTTTATTAGCTTTATACTTTTCAAATGTAGAATCCCTTAACTTAAATCTTGACTGAAGACAATAAACTAAAGGTTATATGAATGTCTGTCATCTGTCCCCGTTCAGGAAGTCAAAAGTATTAGATTCCATATCTTCAGTGGCTTGGATGCCTTTATGGCTAACTTTCTTAAATAATGTTATTATAACCACTGCCCTTTTCATACCACAAACATTACCATTTCAATTTATATGTAATCTGCTTTCGCAGCATTACATCTCACTTGTAATAAATCATAATGCATTTGACTCAGTAAGGGAGAGTGAGAGGGGAAGGCTGGAGCGCAGGCGAATGAGAATAAGAAACACTGCAGTAAATCCCCGCCTGTGTGAAAGACAGAGCTCCCTCTGGGAACAAGAAACCACGAATGAGATAGATGAGAAAAAGGGAGAGAGAGATACTGTGCGGAGCAAGGTGAGGAGAAGGATATGGTCAGCGGAGGAAAGGGGAGTAAATGTGAGAGATAGGGAGGTAAAACTGCATCAGAGTGTGAAGGAGAGAAACAAGGGTCAGGTGGAAATAGAGACGGAGATATCGCTACAGGGCTGAAGAGGTTGTCACACACACCTGCACTGCCATTGCTGCTCCCCCCCCCTTCCCTCTTTTGTCAACATCCCTCTCCGGTCCCCCTCCCCCTGCGCCAGACAGACAAACCCTGCGGGACTGTGGCATAATCACTTTATTTCCCCCGTGGACTGGAACTGCAGCCTGAGCTAACTCCAACTGTGTGACCCCCCTCCCTCCCCCTCCCCCTCCACTCCACAGGGACCAGAGTGGCCCAGGTGACAGCCACAGATGCTGATGATCCCCTGTTCGGAAACAACGCCAAGCTCATCTACTCCATCCTGCAGGGGGAGCCCTACTTCTCCGTGGAGCCAAAGACGGGTAGCTCCGACAGCCGAGGACGAGCTTAGTTTGAACTGCTTGCACAAATCTCTGAGAAAACACAGCTCGGGTTATTTAGAGGACACACACACTAGATTTGATTGTGCAGGAATAAAGTTACGATTTAATATAAGTTCAGAAATATTTGCAGTATGTGGTTATTGAGGCATGAAAACTTGTCTCGTCGAGTTTTCTTCACAAACCGAACAAATTCCCTCGATGACTAAATGTCTGACAATTGATATTGACAAATTGCATCTATTTATATAAACTGCTAAAATAAAAAAACACAATATAAGTTTTCTATGTGATTCAGAGGTCAGTTGCAGCTCCTCCCACACACACTGTGGACCTGAACTGTGGAAAAGTTGGGGGAGGCCATTCCTGACACAAATCTGACTTTTTAGGGAGACACTTGTTGGTTTTGATTGAAGGGTCGACAGCAGTTGACTCGGAAACTCCACAAGTTGTAGTTGTAGCTCGTGGCTACAGTTAACCTGCGAGGAAGAGGAGTCATTCTATTGTCAATAAATCCCATGGATCCAAAATCAGACAAAAACTGTCCTACTCACAAATATAGTTTTGTGTAATTAGAGTCTGAGAAACACTGTAAAACTGTTTAACCATCAAACTTTACAGATTCATAATACTGATTCAATGTGTTTTAATGGGATATTAAGCCTGGGGATAAATGTATTGGTTTCTGGTTACGATATTAAACATTTTAAGATTGAGGGGTTTTGCTTTTTTAGTGATTTAAAGAGACACTATTAAAAACACAAACTTCTTCTCTGCACTTCAGAAATATTGTTTTGTATTAGTAGTTTTTTAATCATTTTCAAAGTCCTGGTGATGTTAAATTTCATTTCATCAATTACGTGTTAATCTAAAATTTTTCTATTTTCTCTGTTTTGAGTAAAAGTATTGAAATGCAGACAACCAAGTTGTTGCCTTTGATATTTTTCTGGTAAAACTAGAGAAAAACATGTTTTCTGTTTGGGAAAAAAAATCACAGATGGGTTTGAGTATTGATTCTTGGCCACGTGTCATACATGACAACATACAAACATACATGTATATTGTGTAGCTGCTGAGAAGCATCTGAACACGTGATTCTGTAGATGAATCAGTGATTGAAATTATGACTTATAAAGGAAAAATAGCTTATATATTTTCCAGGTCGATTTAATTCTCTTGATTCAAATTGTTCATCTGTTTACTGCTGCCCACTTTGGCCAGACGGACGGAGCATTAACTCATCTGAAAGCCCTCTTGATATTTCTTTTTGCACTGATTAAATTTGCTGGCTTGAAGTTTATATTGCTGCAGTTTTATTATACACAATGCACAGCTATCTCGGAGACTTCTTGAGGCAGAGTTTGTTTACTTACAACAGATCCACCCACAGTTCTGTTTAATGTCGTCTTAATGATGCTGATTCTCCTCTTGTCTGCCTCCTCTCTCTCTGTCTGGCTGCTCCACCTGCAGGGATTATTGTAACATCCTGGCCAAACATGGACCGTGAAGCCAGGGAGCAGTACCTGGTGGTGGTGCAGGTGAAGGATATGCTGGGCCTGAGCGGCGGCTACTCCTCCTCCACCACAGTTACCGTCAGCCTGACTGATGTCAACGACAATGGACCCACGTTCCAGCACCGTGAGTCACAGTAACGCAGACCCCCGCACACTCAGGGAATAAATATACCACGAGTCCCAGACTGCGAGGACATGTTTAATATTATACCTAAGAGGTATTTATTCGATCACACCGGTTCGGGTGGGCGGTTCTGCGCTGCCGGCACAACATTCGACTGTGCACATCTTGTTATTGAGCCGGCAGTCAAAATTAAAAGGACAAAGACAAAGAAAGAGAGAGGAAGGGAGCGGAGGAGACGGGGAAGATGTAGTGTGCACGTGCACATGCATGAATTTAATCATTCACACATGAGAGGACATTTGTCATGACCTTTGGAAACAAACCTGGCCCCCTCAGCGATAAACCTCACTAAACGAATGCCCTGGGAAGAAATCAATTCATGTGAAATGAGACAGAGGACGATACTTTTAACTATTAATGTCACATCCACATTTATTGCAGGTGGGACTGTATCACCCGGATTCTATGCTCAGTCAAAAAGGCCTAATAAATATTGTATGGCCGCACTTCAATTTGAACCGTGCCCTCTGTTTTGTCACATAATTGCAAATTATTATCAGCAGGATTTTTTTTTTGTCCAGGAGCAGCTGGTTGCCTGTTGAGTTCCTCCAAGTTGTAGCAGCCGTCCGAACGGAGCGGCTCAAAGACACAATCACATTTTCTCATCTTCTTATTAGAGTCAGGCCGGGATTATGTGGACTCGCCACAACTTATCTGTGACTCGCACAAATTGACCCTTCGCCACAATGTTCCTCGTTCTTATCACTTTACACACAAGCAAACTCTCTTGACTCGCTATTAACAACTCAGTGTCGGGCTCTGTAGGCGGTGTTTTAATGATGAAACTTTTTTATTTGTTATTTTCCTCGGAATCATTATGCACTTGAAACATTTGGTTTCATACATATTCCTTTTGATAGTCGACTCACGCTTACGGTGTCGTTATGAATGATTTGCTTCTTCAGACCTCTACACCTTCGCAGTCCCTGAAAACGCAGCCGTGGGAACCACAGTGGGCAGGATTATGGCGGAAGATGGAGATGTTGGCATCAACGCCAGAATGACCTACACCCTGGATGACGACCTGGAGGAGAGCGCCACTTTCATCATCCAAACAGACCCAGTGACGCAGGAGGGGGTGGTTGTGCTCACCCAGGTTAGAATATATCTCTCTACGACAGCTATATACGTTTTTTATATTTTTAATCTGAAGCCTCCAGCAGTATTGTTTTTTTTTTTTTAAAGCCTGCTGATGTCATGAGGGATTGCCAATCCCATGTAAGTGTCTTACCTGCCGAAATGTCCTCGGTGAGTTCTCATTGGTCCTCACGAAGATGGAAGTACGAGTATACACTCACTGAGGCAGCTGGCAGATACATAACCACAGGAGCCTCAAAGTGAACTCACACAGCTCAGGCTAAAATAAAATATACACACATACACCCAACAATCACACACAGTCACACACCTGGCAGAAGCTGGCGTCTGCTCTGCAGGTCGCGCTCATATAGGAGCTTAGTCTCGGCCCATATGCACAATAAAGTGCCATATGCTGCTGTAGGAGGAAGCACGAGAACAAACAGTGTAAGCAGCTTATTTCTGATGAGGGAGTATCAGCTCTGAGATTACTTAATTACTGTCTAATGATTCAGTCAGTTTTGTTTGGTGGAAAATGTGGAGAGGCGTGTGGGATGTCGTCACTGAGGCTGTGACGCTGGTTTCTATCAGAACTGAGACGAGCGTTAACACTGTACAGATGTGAGGATGAAGAGGACCTGCAGGACATGATTCCCGGAAACTGTTCATATTAAACTGCTGTGCCAACGCTGCCTCCACAGCCGGAGAGCAGTGGCTGCTGGGAGGTTTGTCCACACATGAGCAAGCAGCTGAAACAAGTCGGTGTGGCGTGTGTCTGCTAGAAAGTTCAGCTGATGCAAAATGTTCTGTTCCTAAAGTTAAATCAGTGTTTTAATGTTTTTGAAAATATTCTGAGAGATAGATGAGAGGATTGATATGACTCCAATGATGGACCCTTAAGTATGAAGCTGGGAAACGGTTAGCCAGGATTAGCATTAGCCCGTAGATGCCCAAAAAAATAAATAATACAAACATACCCAGCTAAAGGTAACTAAATCCACCAAGCAGCACTTCTAATGATTAAATTATGATTAAAATGAAAAACTCCTTATGTATTCTCTAGTTGCCAGAAAGCGTTTGAGGGGAAGATGCGTTGGCAAGAAAGTCCAAACGTAATTTCGAAATTGTTCTTATTATATAAAAACTAAATCCCTCATTCCTCTGCTCTGTGAAAGTGACATGTCCAAACAGAAATATTTTTCTCTAAATGCGGAGTGACCGAGAGAATTTAAGAAGTATTAAGTGACATGAATTAATTCATGTAAAATAGACTGTATGTGCATGAAATTGTGAATAAATAACCCTGAGCTCCGAGTGGGTGGACTCAGGGCCGTGCACTTCAGAACTGAGGGTTAGAGAAGTCCTTAATTGGAGTTTTTTAGAAGAGACGACTCAAATAGAAAACGTGGATGAATGAATGAAACACTCATATTTCTATTGGACTTCTGCCTCGTGCTTATTTCACCTCCAGTATTCCTCTCACGGGAGAGTTCAGTTTAGATGCCGTGATAATGAAATAAAAGAGGGAAACATCACTGGCTGTGTCTCTGAATCATTTTGGGAATGCAGTAATGGTTCGCATGCTGTTTCGTTATTACAAGCATCATAATGTTAAAGGAAAACACAGCATTATTTGAGTGCACGCTCACAGCTGGCAGCTTATTGACACCGACCGAACAATTTTAACACCCAGTCTGAGTTGTGTCCAGCTCTCTGCGGAATAATCGTCTGTTCTCGCCATAAATTGGCAAAGAAAATTATAAAAGCTGTTAGTCTTTAAGCTTATTTAATGATTTGTCAGGGTGTTTTCTGTTTCAAAACAGCTAGTGTATTAAAAACATTTCTTTCCTTCACAGCCTTTGGACTACGAAACAAAGAGGCGCTACGTAATGGCTGCAGAGGCCGTTAATGACCACGTGGACACTCGATTTCTGGCTCTGGGGGAGTTCAGGGACAGGACGACGCTCAAGATCATCGTGGAGGACGTGGACGAGCCGCCCGTCTTCATCTCACCGGTCTACGAGTGGAAAGTTCCTGAAAATGCCGCCGTGGGAACCGTGCTCGGCAGCGTCAGCGCCAGGGACACTGACACAGTCAGCAACGCCATCAGGTAATGCTGAGCGTCCAGAAGAATGGCATGTGCCACCCAGCTGCCAGTGCGATAATGACGAGCTAGATTACCAGGCTGGTGGGGGAGGAACGTCCCTCGACAGCCTGGGCTGAGACAGCTTCCTGCATGGGGTGAAAAATCATTCCATTTCAAATAGTGTTACTGCCTCGGTGCATCCATTTTTACCCTTGATCTCTGGATACCCTGTACATGGTCATATTTATCTCATATTACTTTAGTAGGAAATGAGCCCTGCTGAATAAATCATGACAAGTTTTTTATTTTTTTTTATACCTCACAGGCTTTTCTATCTATTGCCGTGGTATTATCACAAAGCGACGTGACTAGGACGTGGGAATGTAATAAAGCACCGTACCAGGCGGCATATGGAATTGAGATTTGTAGTCATTTGCAAGTGGAGCACGTTGCAGAGGAGACAGCAGCACTGCTGGTGCCTGTAGTCCATCTCGGCGGAGCTTAAGAGTGGCAGGTGCTGCATATCATCCTCAGCCTAGCGTCTATTACTGTCCCTTTGGTGACAGTGTCTCATTGATTAATAAATTCAGCCTGACATTTTAGGGGTTTCCACACTTCTAGTAAATATGATTAAGTTTGCTTTGGTCAAATTGGCTTATTCTCTGTGTTGTTATCAGGAAAGTGGCTCATAGAGATGACTCATTAGTGAGTGTTTTTTATTCCTGGATACACTAATTCACCGTGGAATTATAATCACGGACATTAACAAGTGTTAGAGTGTGTGTTGTTGTGAAAGACGTGCGCAATAACAAGCAAATATTTCTTCCATGAAGAATCCTCTTTGCTTTGTCGTATGTTTTATTGGGTTTATTTTTGCACATTTAAATAAAAATCAGGCCCTCACTCGTCTCCATTATCACAGAAGCTACCAGGATGTGTGTTTTGTCAAAACAGCTGCAACACCTGTAAGAAAAACTATTATTCAGTTCTCCTGTTTCTCCAGGCGATGTTTACAACGGCTCCTCGTTATTAAATTGTTTTTCCTCACTCATGACAAATAGAAAGAATCTGAGGCCAGATTAAAAATAATATTCAGTTAAAGTAACTGTAATAAATACACACAGTTGTGTCTCTGCCGTCCCTGTGAGGCGCTTTGTTTTGACTGTGTTGTTGACGCTGTCAATTGAGCTTGTGTGACACCAGATGATAACTGTGGGTGGGATGAAGGGCAGAGGTTTGAGCATCACTAAGTCTCCGCTCAGACCAGGTATCACCATCCATCCTGCACGAGTGATCCAATCACAAGTGGTCGATGCTGCGATACAGAAATAAATCAGTCCTCCACTTTCGGACGGCAGCAGCTGATGAGGCTTGAGAAGAATTTTCTGATTCTTCTCAGCAGCTTCCTTTTGCCGCCCGAGGAGGCTGTGGCTGCAGCATTGATGTCCACAGCCACGTCAGAGCACCAGGACAGTTCACTGGTGTCATCTTCTTTAATTGACGGTACTGAGGTGTCTTTGGAGTTTGACAGGTCAGAATCACAGACTTCTGCACTGTCTCCAGTGGACAACTTGGGGACACTAGTGACTTGGGACACTAGAGCCTCCACAGAATTCGAGGAGACTTTGTCCATGGTGTCACTGTAACTGTTGTCTGAGGTTGCACCGTGGACGCTGTCCTCATTTGGGTAGACCTTCATTGTCATTTTGGAGGTGGTCAGACTGGATGAGGGAAGACAATCCATTAGTAAATCAGTCAGTCCATCCAACCTGATGTGTCTTTTTAGTTTGTAGAACAACATGTGTTCACTTACTAGTCCCAGCTGTCGACATCCTCTGTCAGGTGGCTCATGGTAATAAAGGGATGCTGCAGAGCTTGACCAGAAGTCATCCTCTGATCCCCATCAACATGCAGCAACCCCTCTAACAGAGAGACAAAGGCCATGCGGTCTTCCCTCTCAGCAGCCTCCAACTCTGGATGGAACTGGATTTGAAAACAGGTTTCAGGTCAGATGATCCAGCTCCCGATTGACAGATAAATAACTGGTACAGATCCAGTCTTTACTTGTACAACACATGAGAGAGTACTCACAAGAATCAGGCTGCTCAGAGAGCTCAGAGAGCTCGGCAGCTCCTCTGTTTCCAAGTCGTTAGCTGCTGTGAATTCTTCTGCGGTCTAAAGATACAAAAAGGAAACAAGATGAGCACAGGGCAGTATGATTTACTGTGCTCCACTAAAATTCTCAAACAAAGAAGAACATGGTTACTCTACCAGCAGTCTCCATGATGAACTGTCTGCACCCTGCTCATCAATGAAGAAACGCCAACTGTTCTCGCCGTCACGGAGCAGGCGGTCCTCCGGCTGGCCCAGCACTGTCACTATGCCCTTCATCTGCAGACACAATACACATCGTGAGAATCACATCCACTTACATTCTCTATGAATATGAAAAACAAATAAAAACCCATTTGGTGAGATGATACATACCATTTGATATTCACAGCTAATACAGAACAGGTTTTCAGCCATGTACAGGAAGGCCAGTATGCACGCGACACCCCACACATCGACGGCCTCGGTGAACGGAAGGCCGAGTGAGATTTCTGGAGCCCTGAGAAGGAAAGACATGAGCCAAAGATGAAAAATCTGTTGAAACTTTTCAGTGCAGAGAAAATAATGAGGCTGAACAGATGCTATGCAGGATGAACTCACCTGTACCCATACGGCTGGATTTCCTTCCCCAGCTCGATTTGGGACGTCATCATGGCGCTGCCAAAATCAATCAGCTTCACCCTGAGTGGCTGATCCTGCAAGTGGACGAACATAATGTT